TCAACCTGCTGGGCTCTGGTGATCCTTCCGCCTCAGCCTTCCGAGTAGCCAGAACTACAGACATGCGCTACCACGCCTGGCTGATTTTTTGATTTATTGCAAAGATGAGGTCTCGCTGCCCAGGCGGGTCACGAACCCGCGGGTTCAGGCAATTCACTCACCTCAGCCTCCCAAAGGCGCGAGATTACTGGTTGAGCCACCGAGCCCGGCCATGTAATTATCTTTATTGCAGTCTTTATTTCCTCATACAGCTTTGAGCACTATCAGTGTTTTTTTCATTTCACCCTACAGGACTTTCTTGAGTATTTTTTGCAAATCAGGTCTAGTAGTAACAAACTCCCTTAGCTTTTGTTTATCTGGGAATGTTATAATTTCCCCCTCACTTTTCAAGTATGGTTTTGCCAAATATAGGGGTTTTGATTGACAGCTTATTTTTCTTTTAGCACTTTGGATAAATTGGCTTATTGCCTTCTAGACTTTATAATTTCTGCAGAGAAATCTGCTGACAATCTTAGTGAGAATTTCTTGCATGATAGGAGTTACTTCTCTCTCATTGCCTTCGATTCTCTCTTTCTTTGACTTTTCAAAGTATGAATATAATGTACCTCTGTATTGTTCTCTTTGAGTTCATCTCAGAGTTTATTGATCTCCTTGGATATTTATAGTCATGTGTTATGTGCAAACTGAGTAATTTTTATCCGTTACCCTTTCAAATATAGAAAGAGTCTTTCAAAGACACACTTAAAACCTGTGTGGCCTGCCAGTAGGCCTCAGAATAAGGTTCAAGCTCTGGAGTTTGTGAGAAGGCATAGTAACAGCTCATCTTTATTAAATACTTGCTGCATGCTAGGTCTTGTTTTACGTACCTTACATTTTGACCTGACTGAATCCTCACAACAATTCTATGAAGTCTCATTTGAGGGAAGAGGAGCCTAAGGTATAGAGAGGTTAGATTGTTTGTCAAGGACCATATAGTTTGTAAGCAGATCTGGGGTGTGAACCCAGGATAGTTGATCCTATGGCCCACAGTCTTTGGAGCTTGACAAACATAGGTTTGACTCTTGATTACTCCCATTTTCTAGCCTGCATGAACTTAGGCAAGTTCCTTCAGCTCTCTGAATCTTACTCTCTTCATCTATGCATAGGGTTGCTTTGATGTCAATGAATCATTCCAGGGGTGTGTGTGTGTGCATGTATGTGTGTGTTAACTGTTGTTAGTTGAGGTCATGTGGTATCCAAGGTCCTTAACAGAGATAATGCATAAAAGAATCTATCCCTGGGTTCTGCCCCAGGGAACAAGTAGTTCCCTCCCCTTCAAGCTTACCCTTGCCCAATACATATTCCTGCAAGTCTCCTCCCTGTATCTCCCGCCACAGCCTGCTCCTAAATGCCCCAGTGTGCATTAGAGAAAGTGCTCTGAACATGCCCTGGGATACTCCCCCCTGTGAGTAGAAGGTAAGCCAAGCTTTTCCCATGTCACATGGGAAGCTGACCTTGGGTTATACTCTCCAATTCTGTTCCCCTAGACACCTAATAGCTGTAGGATGTCAACTGTGTTGCCAGGCAATATGGCTATGTCAAAAAAGACCCCAGGTTTGTAAATGACATCTGAACTGAGAAGAACCACAAATGACAGTAAACACCTGATGGGGACACTAGGCTTTGGGCTTCCCTGAGTGTGTTGATTCTTGTAATGTGCATACTCCTTGTAAGAGTCCTGGGACTGTTAGTGGACATGGTGATTCTGTGGGTCATGAGAATTCTAAGACAAGATAGACCCACACACACACACCAATGTATATCTCATCTTCCTGCACCCGGCCGTTTTCTCAGAAGATGGGTTGCTGGCAGCTGTGAGGATGTTGCAGGCAACGCCTGGCACTGCCTTGCTGGCAAGCTCTGGCTCCTGCCCATATCCTCAGAGTAGACTGATGCTAACTGTGCCAGTAGTAGTCTCATGAGTCTGAATGTTTAGAACACCATGACTTCCTGCAGCATCTCTGCACCTTTGCATATACCATTTCTTCCTCTGCACTCACCTTCTGTCCCAGAGCATCTGTTGAAATTCTGCCCATTCCTCAACATCCAGTTTGAATGCCCTTCTCCAGGAACCTCCCTAAGCCCTCGGAGACTGAAATCTCTGCCTCCTCTGAGCCTCTTCAACACTGTTAGTGCCTTGCCCACTCTCTGCTTTGTATTATAAAGAACCTAAGATTTTTTAAAGATTAGTTATGTCAGCAACAACATTCATTAAGCATGTAACATATGTCAAACACTGCATACTACACACACACTTGCATTTAATCCTTTAAAAACTCTATACAACAGGCACTATCATAACTCCAACCTCACAGACAAGGAAATGAAGTGCACATGGTCAGTTATCATGGAGCTGGGATTCTCGCACCCAAGACCCCTGACTCCACCTCTAGGCGTGTTTCCTGAATGCACAGACCATATACCATGGAGCTCAGCACAAGACTTGGGAACATAGTATTATATGTACTTGATGAAATGTGTGTTGAATGAATGAAATGAATATAAGAAATGAGCCCAGCCATGTTGGTTCATTCTTATAATTCCTGCATTTTGAGAGGCTGAAGCAGGAGGATCATTTGAGGCAAGGAGTTTGAGACCAGCCTAGGCAACACAGTGAGATTCCGTCTCTACAAAAATAAAAATTAAAAATAGCTGGGCACGATGGCTCACGCCTATAATCCCAGCATTTTGGGAGTCAGAGGCGAGAGGACTGCCTGAACCCAGGGGTTCAAGACCAGCCTGGGCAACTTGGCATAACCTCGTCTCTATAATAAATCAGAAAAATTAGCCGGGCGTGGTGGCACATGCCTGTAGTTCCAGCTGCTTGGAAGGCTGAGGCAGAAGGATTGCCTGAGCCCAGCAGGTCGAGGCCACGGTGGCTGTGAGCATGCCACTGCATTCCAGCCTGGGCAACAGAGTGAGAGACTCCCACTCAAAAAAAAAAAAAAAGGCTGGGCGTGGTGGCTCACATTTATAATCCCAGCACTTTGGGAGGCCAAGGTGAGAGGATTGCCTGAGCCCACAGGTTCGAGACCAATCTGGGCAACTTGGCGAGACCTCATCTCTGCAATAAATCAAAACATTAGCTGAGCATGGTGGCTCATACCTGTAGTTTTCCAGCTACTTGGAAGATTGAGGTGGAAGGATCGATCGCCTGAGCCCAACAGGTCGAGGCTGCAGTGGCCAGTAGCGTGTTTACTGCCCTCCAGCCTGGTTGACAGATTGAGACTCCGGTTATAAAAAAAAAAAATAGGTGTAATGTTTCACACCTGTAATTCCATTACTGTGGGAGGCTGAGGTGAGAGGATTGCTGGAGCCCAGGAGTTCAAGACAAACCTGGGCAACATAGTGAGACCTCGTCTCTACAAAAAAAAAAAAAAAATCACACACACACAAATTAGCCAGGTGGTGGTAGGTGCCTACAGTTCCAACTACTGGGGAGGCTG